TTTTGTATACCTATCTTTTTAACTCTCTTGACACTTAATTTGTAGCCTAAAATATGGTCTATTCTGGAAAATGTCTCATGTGTACTTGAGAAGAATTTGTATGCTGTTCTGTATATGTCTATATGACCTGGTTGGTTGGTGTTGTTTAAGTCCTCTATTTTCTTTTTATCTTCTGTCCAGTTGTTCTACTCATTATTGAGAGTGGAGTATTGAAAGTCTCCAAATATTACTGTAGAACTATTTATTTCTCCCTTCAATTCTGTTAGTTTTTGTTTTATGTATTTTGATGGCTTGTCGTTAGGTGCATAATGTTTATAATTCTTATATCTTGCTGTATTTATATTAACACATAATGTCTTTCTTTGTCTCTTGTAACCTTTTTTGATTTAAAGTCTATTTTGTCTGATATTAGTATAATTACCCCTGCTCTCTTTTGATTACTACTTACATGGAAGAGCTTTTTTCATTTTTTCCTTCTCAATCTATTTGTGTCTTTGAATCTAAAGTGAGTCTCTTGTCGACACATACAGTTGAATTGTGTGTTTTTAATCCATTCTGCCAATCTATGTCTTTTGATTGGAGAGTTAATCCATATTGGTGATTTTAATCTATTTAAATTTAAAGTAATTACTGATAAGGAGGGACTTACTTCTGTCATTTTATTGTTTGTTTTCTGTATGCCCGATAGCTTTTTTGTTCCTCATTCCCTGCCTTACTGTCTCCTTTTGTGTTTAGTTGTTTTTTGTAGTAACATGTTTAAATTCCTTTCTCATTTTTCTTTTGTGCATATTCTGTAGCTATTTTCTTTTTGGTTACTGTGGAGATTACATTTAACATCCTAACGTTATAACACTGTAATTTGAATTTATAACATCTTATCTTCCATAACATACAAAATTCTGCTCCTTTTCAACTCCATCCCCACCACTTTTTCGTTTTGATGTCACAGAATTACATCTTTATACATTGTGCATCCTCAAGACATAAAATAATCATTCTTTTAAATTCGTTAGTCTCCAAAATTACATAGTAATCAAAATGTGGGGGTTACAAACCAAATATTTTAATAATACTAGCTTTTAGACTAATACTTTAAAAAAATCAGTCTCATATCATAGAAAATGAAAAGTGGAGTTAGAAGCTGTTGTTATGTTTATAAATGCTCATCGTGTATTTACTTTTATTTTGATCTTTATTTTTTGATAAGGCTTCAAGTTACTGTCTAGTGTCCTTTCATTTCACCCTGCAGGACTCCCTTGAACATTTCTTGCAGGGCAGGTCTAGTGGTAACAGATTCTCTCAGCTTTTTTTGATCTGGAAATGTCTTAATCTCTCCCTCACTTTTTTTTCTTTTTCTTTTCTTTCTTTCTTTCTTTTTTTTTTTTTGGTGATTGGCCTGTGCAGGGAAATCTCCCTCACTTTTGAAGGACAGTTTTGTTGAATATAGGATTCTTGGTTGGCAGAATTTTTTCATTTTTTCCTTTTAGCACTCTGAATATAGTGGCCCATTGCCTTCTGACCTCCAAAGTTTCTGATCAGGAATCTGCATATAATATTATTGAAGATACCTTATTTGTGACAATTTGCTTGTCTCTTTATTTTCAAGATTCTCTCTTTGTCTTTGTTGTCTGAAAGTTTGCTTTTAGTGTGTCTCAATGTGGACCTCTTTGATTCATCTTACTTGGAGTTTATTGAACTTCTTAAATGTTTATATTTATGTTTTTTGGTAAATTTGGAGAGTTTTCAGCCATTGATTTTTCAAATATTCTCTTGTCCATTTCTCTCTTTCTTCTCTTTCTGGAACTCCCACAATGCGTGGTCTGCTTGTTTGTCCTACAGGTCCTTGAGGCTCTGTTCACTTTTCTTCAGTATGTTTCTTCAATCTTTTTTCTGTTCCTCACACTTCATAATTTCCATTGTCCTATTTGAAAGTTTGTTAATTCTTTTTTCTGCCTGTTCAAACCTGCCTGTGAATTCCTCTAGTGAATTTTTCATTTCAGTTATTGTATGTTTGAGTTCCAGATTTTCTTTTTGGTTTCTTTTTAGGTTTTCTCTCTTTTTATTAATATTTCCATTTTGTTTGTACATCATTCTGTTGACTTTCTGTAAATTCCTTTAGTTCTTTATGCATCTTTAAGATGGTTATTTTAAAGTCCTTGTCTAGTATATCTGCCACCAGGTCTTTTTCAGGGAGAGTTACCATTGACTTGTTTTTTTTCCTTTGACTGGGCCATATTTTCCTGTTTCTTTGTATGCACTGTGATTTTGTTGTTGTTGCTGTTGAAAGCTGGACAGTTGAATCTAAAAATGTGGTAACTCTATTAATTAGATTCTTCCCCTTCCACAGGATTTGTCTGGGTTTTGTTGTTGTTATTTATTTATTTATTTATTTATTTATTTATTTTGATGGTTGTACACTGTCTCTGTGCCAAAGATCAGCCTGAGATGTAACCTTAAGGTCTTCTCAGATCTTTTCTTAGCCCTTCCCCAGCCATGCATGGTCATTTTCTAGTTTTCTCCATATATTGTTTTTGAATGACCTAGTCTTTAATGTCTGACGCCTAAAAGGGGGAAAAGAGAATAACTAAAGGGGTGAGGGGAAGGTGCTGGCCCTTTTTCTTTCTTTTTTTTTTTTTGGTGGCTGGCCTGTACAGGGAAATCTCCCTCACTTTTGAAGGACAGTTTTGTTGAATATAGGATTCTTGGTTGGCAGAATTTTTTCATTTTTTCCTTTTAGCACTCTGAATATAGTGGCCCATTGCCTTCTATATTGGAAGTCACCTTAGCCAAAGGGGGAGGAGCGTACAACAATGGAGGGAGATGCAGTAACAATGGAACCCATCCTGTTTGTCTGCACCTCTGTGATCAAAACCAGCAATCATCAGTCAGAGCACAGATCCCTAATAGTTAGAGAACAGGGTTCTTTTTTACTAACTCTGGCTCCCTCAAGCTGTGTGCAGGTTGCTTCAGGAACGGGTACACAGCTGCCTACTATGTGGCTGAGGGGTGGCAGATGGATGGGTAGGATGGATGGATGCTAGGAGCTGAAATTGACCAAAAGTAACCACAATTTATTATCCAAGCCTTTCCCTGGAAGTTGCAAGCCTTCAATAGATCCCAGAGTTCCAAAACAGTTATATCAGATAGATTCTGCCAGTGCAATTGTTGTCTAGGTATGAAGATGGATTCCTAGTTCTTCCCAATGTACCATTTTCCCCTGTCTTTGGTTTTTATATGTGTGGTTACACTAAATCCTGATGAGCGGAGATTTTGCCCCAAGCATTTCCTCATAAGGGAAATGTATATGTTGCAAATTCTGTTTTCTAGTGTAAATAATATGTAAAATGTGATTGTTGCTGTTACATCATTTTATTTCCTCCCCGTTTTTAGATAAACCAGGTATTTTCAGTCAGTGAAAAATGATGACATATTTCAGACATTCTTCAATAAGCTGGCCATTATATATTTTATATTAAATAAAATGTTTTATAAGACATATACATGTTTAAAATTAATCTATATCTCACCATACCTCATATAGTACAATGCTTATGGTAGAAAAATAAGACTTTGAGTCATGTTTTCGAGTTTATTAGAGTTGGCTGCAAGAGGGAATGAGGAGGTTCACTCAAATTTCTAGGGCCCCTAAAAGACAGTGATTTTTCTTGAGATATATTAAGTCACAAGGTTTGGTGGCATTAACTTAGGATAACTGCTAACTGCTGGTGTCAGGAGCATTCACAAAGAGCACACACAGCTAACATACTTTTGAAAAGCATCATGCTATTTATCCAGAAGAAGTAAAACAGTAGGGTGTTAGGAGTTTGCTGGGGCTTTAACCTTTTCTTAACTGGCAGCCTTCATGACATAAAGCTTCATCTGTCATGGGCAGGACTGGCTTCATGGATATGCAACTTGTGCTCCTAGAAGGGCATGGCGCTTGTTTTAATATTCTTTTATTGCCATCTTGGAATTCCTAATAAGTTTTAAACAAGGGGCTCTGCATTTTCATTTTACACTGGGCCCCACAAATTATGTAGCTGGTCCTGATTATGAGAGCTGATTTCATATTCCTGTACCATATCTCATGGGTTAAAGCACTGTTTTCACAGGATAAACTGTGTACTAACTAGGTTAGAGTCAAGGGCTGTGGCTAACCAAGTCCTCTTTTTTCCACAGGAGGCTAAACTTAGTATGATAGGAAAGGGAAAGAAAGAGCATAGCAGGTAGGGGCTACTGACAACTATAGTTTCTCTATTAATAACAACAGCAGCTGCTACTATTCCTGTTATGCCCACCGCCATATCAAGCAGCTAATATCTTCCAGGCTCTGGTTAAACATTTCATGTGCTTTATTTCTTTTAACTTAATCTCAACAACCTACAAAATGACTATTATTTTTATAGATGAGAAATCTGAAGTTTCCACAAATCAAGTTGCTTACAATTACAGAGCTGGTAATGGTCTTTTCCCATTCACTGTCCTTTCTACTCACTTAAGAAGTAGCCAACCTGTCTTATCTGTTGTTAAAATTGAACTTGAATCACTGATTTACCTACTTAAAAAGATGTAATGGCAGAAAGAGGGCCCACAGACTAATGCTTACATAGTTTTTTTATGTTTTACTTTTTAGTTTACATATAATTGTAAATAGTATGTTGTTTAGTACCTTTTGCATATATATTTCTTACCTTTTTCTCCGTGGATGCTATTTGGACAGCATACTGATACTGGAAGAAATAAGTATACCTTCCTCCTTCTCTCAGAAGATTATGTCAATAAACAGTGTTATCTATTTTTTAAACCTCAGCCAAAAATGACATTTTGTTTATTGGTTCTTTATTTCTGTTATTATTGTTTTCCTAGTTTTTAATGCATTCTGCCATAAATAAAAGATTACTCATGTGTTTTATTTTAATTTTGCATTAAAATAAAGTTTTTCACAAATTTGTAAATATAGAAATTCTACTCGGGACTAACCCCAATTATGTATCCTGCAGGAAAGCATCATTAGCAGCTGATGTCTCCAAGCTTGGATATAGTACCACATCCAATCACAAGTATATTCCCCGGAGGGCAGTGCTCTATGTACCTGGAAATGATGAAAAGAAAATAAAGAAGATTCCATCCCTGAATGTAGATTGTGCAGTGCTTGACTGTGAGGATGGTGTGGCTGCAAACAAGAAGGTAATGGCATGATTTTAGGATGGGGAAAAGGAATGAATTTAAGTTTAGTGCACTTGCTCACTGTTTGAAAGATTCTATAGTACTTATCTTTTGCTGATTACTAATATATTTTTTGCCCTTTTATGTGTTCTGAGTGTGTGTGTCTCTTTTCTCCGAGAGAAAGGAAGAATCCAACCAAAATATATTTTAAAATCATGATCTTCAGTAGATGTGAATACGTGTATGCATAGATAAGGAGCTAGACACTCAATCAGTTTTGGCCATGATATTTGCTCGTCAGTGGAAGTGAGTTACATAATTCTAGAATTATGATGTAAATTTTTCAGACCAATAAAGTGCAGTTAGGGATTTATTTCGTCTTTTATGACTGGGTATATTGAGTAGTGGTTTTATTTCTTCTGGGACAAATGCCAAGAAAATAGAAGATATTCTTCCAATGGATGAATCACCATTTCCCTTACTTAATGGTAAACTACACACAGCACCTTAGGGTTGGTTGTAACTTCTGGCTGAAATCCTCATGGCTTGATCAGAGAAATGAGCCTTGGAAAATATCCGATTTGTAAACAGGTACAAAAGATTCTTAGTAGGTGGTTGCATAGTGGGTCCTTTTTGTTTCATTTTGTTTTGTTTAACTTTGTTTTCTAGGTTTTTATAATGAACATGGATTTATTCAACAATTAGGTGAAATATGTAAGTCATTATAATAATGACTTATGTTTGCATGGAACTTATTTAGTTAAAAATGTGATTTCAGGGCCGGCCCGGTGGCGCACTGCTACAGTGCGCCACTTGGGAAGTGCGGCAGCGCTCCCGCCGAGGGTTCGGATCCCACATACAGACCGGCTGCTCACTGGCTGAGCGAGATGCGGGAGCAACACTGAGGGTTGCGATCCCGTTGCTGGTCCCGGTCCGGTACGGGCGCAACACTGAGGGTTGCGATCCGTTGCCAGTCATGAAAAAAGACAAAAAGGAAAAAAAAATGTGATTTCACTCAACCTTTGTCTACCTGGTCCCTAGACAATGAGGTAGGGCTGGGAATGCATTGTGGGGCTGGAGGACAGAGGAAGCTGCATCTGGATTTATGCCTGTTTGGATAGTTTCTTGCCCCAAGTGATCTGAAATAATGTGGCTGTACTATATAACTTTCTGTATTAATTTATTTCCTTGGAGATTCTAGCAAAAAAATATTTGCCTTAATTAAAAAAAAAAGTTAATTTCTAGCATCCTTCTAATGGTCAAACCAAGGCTTTCCAAGTATTTGGAAAAGGATTAGAATAAGCATGTGGAATCTAAAGCATCTACTCAACATCTTTGGCATGTGCCAAAGAAAATACAAGTAATATTTCACCCAGAGATTAAGGTAAATAGGTCTTTTTTTTTTTTTTCCTTTTTGTCTTTTTTTTCATGACCGGTAACGGGATCGCAACCCTCGGTGTCACGCCCATACCTTGACCGGCAATGGGATCGCAACCCTCAGTGTCGCCCCTGCACCATGCCCAACCAGTGAGCGGACCGGTCACTATATGGGATCCGAGCACTCGACGGGAGCACCGCCGCACTCCCAAGCACCGCACTCTACTGAGTGCGCCACTATGGGCCGGCCCTAAATAGGCCTTTTTTTGAAGAATATAATGTGATTCCATGAAGCTCCCTCCCACACCTCATGTAGTACACCCTAAGATTAGATGCCAAGTCATAATTCCAGTTCTGTGTGACCCAGGGCGATTCATTTTGCCTCCTTGCCTCAATTTCATGTGTATATGGTAGGCAGACAATATCTTCTTTTGTCTCAGACAGGAATTATTATGAAAAACAGTTGATAAAATGCCCGGGAGTAGTTTGATTTCCTATAGGAAATAAATAAGATAAATCCTGTAGTAATCACAATTAGAAGGGAATTTATTTTAAAATTGTGGCACAGTGAGCCATTAGGTACCTGATAAACTTCTAATTATATTCGCAAATCTTGAGGCTATCTTCCTATGCCCACCTGAGATGTTTCCTGCCACCCAGATGAATTGGAAATATGGTCCATTTCTGCCTTACATTTCCTTACTGTTTATCCATGTTCTGAAGCCACCGTTATACCCACGGTAGTGGCAGCTGAGCTAAGACTTAGGAGAAACCTAAGGAGGAGAAGGGGAGAGAAAATGATGGGCATGTCGTGCCCACAATCTTGGAGTATATGTCCACACGACATCTTCATTAGGACATTCCAATTCTAATGCCGTTGAACATTGCATTAACTGCTAGCCACTCTCTTTTATGCACGCTAAGCTTGGAGTCAACTAGAATTGCCTTTTTTTATCCACAGAAGGTCCTGGTGAGCCAGACTGGTACTTGTATAAGAATTTTTTCTTCTTAAAATCTCTATTGAGGACTTAATTTCATCTCATATATTTCATTCCATAGTCCTAGCCTGTCAAATTCTTTTTGGATTTTGATTTCATCATCCGGCATTTATATCATTTGAGAATTTGCCAAACACGTCATATGAAAATTTAACAAGTTTCTGATGGAAAAGTTGAAGAGGTTGGAGCCAAGTGCTGCACAAGCTTGCCACTAAAAATGTCTGTTATATAGAAGGATTTATAGAGTGCTGACTAAATTTCAGGCACTGTAGTTTGCACAGCAACCCAGTGAGGTACTATTATTACACTCCTTTTACAAATAAGGAAACTGAGGCACAGAGAAGTCAAGTTCATGGATAATACTGTGAATATGGTTATTCAGTCACCTAACTCTACTAAAATCCAATCTTTTCATAAAGATAATATAAGATTTTTATCAAATTCCTTTTCAAGTGAAGATATGTTCCCAATCTACCAGTCTAGAAATATCTTCTCACCTTGTACTTCCACCTCATCGGAAAAATGAGGTCAGGCAGATGAGGCTTCTTCTTGATGAACTCATGTCAGTACTTAGTTGTTACCACCTCTTTTTGATGTGCTGGAAATGTAAAAATGGTTTTCTGAGAATTTTCTGTGTAATAGGTGCCATATTACATATACAAGGGTACTTCAAAAAGTTTGTGGAGAAATAGAGTTAAAAAATAATATGAATCTTTCCATGAACTTTTGAAGAACCCTTGTACAATATTATTACTTACACGTATTATCTCATTTAATCCTTATATAAAAGTTTTGAAATACGTCCAAGGTCACATTGCCATTAAATGGCAGAACCAAGGAAGGTTTGGATCTCCTAAAATTTTTGCCAGGAGTCAGCCTCAAGTTCACCTGTTGATGTATTCCATAATTCACCTTTTCCCACTTTCTTGGAAATCCATTGCCTTGGCTTCTCTTTATCTTTTGTCAACTTTGTGTTCTCCATGATTTTTCAAAGGTTACTGACAGTAGTTCTGTGTTTACATCTGCAAATTAATTCAATGTCCTGGGATTGTAATTCATTTAGATCTAGGGACTTCAATTCATTTGAAATGTCCGGGTAAGTCTGAAACTTCTCACATATCTCCTATTCTTTTTTCTGTTTTGATGTCAGCACTTAATTGTGTTTTTTATTTGAATATTATGCTCCCTGATGGAGGTGATAGAGATCATTTTTAGTGAATTTATTTCTTACTAGGAAGAAATCCCTGTTTAAAACTCTCATTTTAGATTTTCTAGTTATAATTCGGTAAATTGAACTATTGCCTAATTCAGCTTTCCTGGAATTATTAAGACATAGTCACTCATTTTATATCTCATTTTATTTCTTTTTTTTTATTAATAGACTAATTCCATATTTCATTTGATTGACTCTCTGTGGAGTGTGGGCTTATAATGAAAACAAGAGGAGTTTCCATAAAGCAGTTTATAAGTGTATAATACCTTCCAGCAGGCTCTAATCCTGTCCTACTAATCCAATTTAAGTAGCTCCTTTATGTCAAGGATGGCACTACCAGCTCACCTTTCCAAGCATGGATGATGAAAAGACTGCTTCCATTCCTCTCTTATCTTCTCCTTTTCATTGTTAAATGCATGAGGCGGTACAGGGCTATCTAAGTCATTGCTTGCTGGGCCACAGTAAAAATATGCCAAGGAATACACAGATTTCTAGTGAATCACCATGACACTGGGTAAGGCCAAGAAGATAGGAGTGTAGGAAGTAGAGGCAGGATTCTAAGGCTGCTATTTCAGTTGAGTAAATGTTTGAATAATTATTTTAATTTATTTAACACTTAAGTTTAAATGTTTAAACTACTCAAGTAGGCAACATGGCAGGCTGGAGGGATACAAAGATGGTTGCATGGTCTTCAACCTGGAGGAGTCAGAATCCAACAAGATAGGTCTATAAGAACACATTCTTTTTATTATCATTTGGCTCTCAGTGTTTTTAATTGCCATTTTGACCTGTTGCTTGAACCCTGAGACACAAGAGTGCTTCCCAAACTCTACGGTAAAGAACCAGTTTGGTTATTTTTATTTATTGCTTTGTTTGCTTTTTAAATTTTCTTTCTTCCTTTTTTTTTTTTTACATTTCCAATCCATTGTAGACCAAAACTTTTGTAAAATACAATAAAAACAAATTGCTAGAAAAATTAAATGCTGTGTGAATGTCACAGCAATGTAAAGTGCTATAGACGTTTCTGAATTCTCACTCTTCATGTCATACTTACCTCATAGTGGCATGGTAAGATCCTGTGGACCAAGAGTGGGCCACAGACCACACTCTGAGTAGCAGGGACTTCGAATTTTTAAATTTCCAAGTGTATGGGAGTTTGTTTTTTAAATTTATGTTTTTGTTGCTGACTTCTAGCATAGTTGCTTGGTGGTTAGAGAGTGTGGTGTGAATGATGATGATTCTTTGAAATTTGCTGAGCTCTACTTCATGGCCTAGTACAGGAGCCATTTTTGTAAATGTTTCTTTCTTTCTTTCTTTCTTTTTTTTTTTTTTTTTGATGACTGGCTGATACAGGGATCAAACCCTGGACCTTGGTGTTATCGGCACTGTGCTCTAACCAACTGAGCTAACCAGCCAGCCCAGAAGAAAGTTTA